GGCATATGAAAATCTGGTTTTTTCACCATTTTGTGATTGAAATTCAAATTCAATGGAAAATAGGCTTTTTTTGGGGAAATTCGGGGACCAAACCGCCTACGGCAGTTTGCTTCACGTAGATCTCGAAAAAATACCCGATTTCAAAAAAAAATTCGCCCCAAACGGACCACCGAGCGCAAAGTTATGCCCGTTTCAACTTTGCCCACTTCTTCATGCTTTTTTTCACGCCACATACCCAAGCCCGGCCTGTTTCAACTTTTCTCGCCACTTCTCTACAGATGTGTAAGCTTCTCTACACTCTACCCATTCCACATGACTTGGGTATAGGGTCTCTGACACTCACTCAGGATTCCTTTCCCACTGAAGAGCCAACTCCTTCCAAACCTTCCTGCAGATATATAACGCAGGTTTGATTTCAAACTAGCTGATGTGTAAGCTTCTGTACCACACTCCACCGGCTATATCATTCGCACACATGGGGAAGAACCTGTCAGTTTCAGCCCCAATTCGGTTCTTGTTAATTATGGCCACGATTCCAAGTTACAGACAGTTACATACAGCTACATACAGTTACTAAAGTCAACGAAATAAAAGAACTCAAAAGGTAAAACATTAAAAAAACTATGGCAGGATATCTTTCTCCTTAAACACTGAATCTGTCATTGGTGTTGCAGTTACTAAATTCTTGCCACAGTGGGTACCATTATTTCCAACCTGGACACACTCCACCTTTCATAATATCGACTACAACCTTGGAATCTGATTCAATTGAAATTGGATACACTATCAACCCAAAATCTTCAACCAATTTCACACCATCCAGTACCGAGCCCGATCTCTACTTCCATAACAATAGGAACCAGCTATAACCATTTCCCCCCACTAATATGTACACCTGAGTGCACGATGTATTTTTAGGAACAATTCACAAGTGTATTTAGACTACACATAATATATCCACCATATCGTAGGTTTTCCAAAATAATACATCCAAAATAACAAGATTTTTTTTGGTTAGTTGCAAATCTATTGTGGGCATGAACACCACGAGCCTACGGAGACAACCAACGCATAATGCTCATGAAAGTGTGTGTATAAACACCAAGCTCTCACGTGCCGGCTTGAATAACAATCTATGTAATGTTAAACACGCAGGAAGTCTATACTCATTCAACGACTCAAACACAGATGCCCACAAAGAGACATATTCATTCAAAATTTATCGTCATACGTGGCACATTACATTTAAAAGTGTTGTAATAATTACACTGAGTCCAACAACATCTCTGGATATATACAATATTTGTCATGGTTATTGATCCACCAGGAGGGAGGAGAAGGACCGTGGCTAAATACCGGCTACATATCGATAGATATATTCACGGGATGAAACATAGATTCCCAGATTTGTCACTACTTAGAATTCTAGTCTCAATAAGTCTTGTCCTGTTGTATATTCCTCAACAAAATGATGGGGGTATCCGACTTTTAGCTCCAGCTTCAAAGGTGGTAAACCTAACGGGTTTACGGGAATTCAAAAACTCACTCCGATATTGATTAGTAGTAGAACGTCTCAGGTTGTCACCATTCGACATCTTGTCAGCTACCAAGTAGGTACAGGTGTCTCCAGGGTAAATTCGTAGAGCAGCATCATTGATAGAACAAACGTCATCATTCTGAGTTGAAATAATTGTGCTCTCGGTTAAGTAGGTAGGAAAGATTGGGGGGGGCAAACATAATTACTCAATTAAATGAGTTATCTTTACATGTGTATGTGTATACAGATGAAATGGGTGAGTCATTTAGGGGGCTAAAGTGGCTGTGTTGTGTATGCCATGTGTGTGTGTGTAATAAAAAGTGTAGAAGTGTTTAATTGATAAACAAGTGTGTGTGTGTTCTGGTCTTGTTGAAATCGTGAGTGAGGGAGTGTAAAAGAGGGAGAAGAAAATATGTATGTACATGTGTCTACTTGAGCCAAGACCAAGGAAGAGAGGGAAAGTGAAAACAAACTTTGGTGGGTGTTTTTAGTTCAAACCGAGAGGGAGAAGAAAGAAGGAGAAAGACAAGAACTTGGGGAGAGTCCATGCCAAACCGAAAGTGAAAGAAAAACAAGAAAAATGTGGGGAAAAAGAAGGTATATATATTATAAAATAGGGTGGCTTCAACATCCAACGGTCTCAAATCAATTCATTCATCTCTAATCAAAAGGCTCGCAATATATCTCACTCAAAAACCAAATCCCGCCAATTCCAACACACAACCCAAGGCGTGCTCTCTCCTTCCCAAGCCAACGACAACCATAATGTCTCTCTCTTTCTCTCATGACTCTCTCTCTCTCTCACACACACACGAAGCAGTTAAGCCTCTACTATGTCTGGAGAATGATCCTTCAAGACATCCTCATAGAAAATGATCTCTCCTAATGAGTCATAACATGCTGGCCCATCCTTCTCGGCTTGGCAGCACATAGCGCCAGTAGGAATGTAGAATGAAGATACAATGTGGGTAATGTCACCATCAGAATCTATGGAACTGAAGATAGAAGTTACCTTCGAGCCGTCACTTTCAGCAATTCCCTTGCCTCGCTGAGAATCTAGTGTAGTAGTCTTCTTCACGCCTTTGTCAGAGTGGGTACCAGCGAAAGATAAGATCAAGTGTCAAGACAATTACAAAACAACTAAGGAATGAATGGGCAATCAGAATCGCCTTACCAAGACAAAAGGCAAAGCCCGAGACACTACCTTTGCTACTTGGCACACCTATTAGCTGACCTCCACCAATGCCAGAGAGCTGCCCACTTGAGGCTAGGTCACTTAACACTTCGCATGTGCTTCTTGCACAAGTGCCCAATACCTGGCCTACGCCTAAGGCGCTGCCTCCTTGCCTTATGTGGACAACACCATCACCACCACCACCTCCATTGACACCGCCCATGCCTCCAACCACGCCACGGCACTCCGGCATCACCTTTAGTTATGGCCAGTCACTCCGTCGTTGCCTTTAGCCATGCCATAGGCGCCTTTCACACCGTACAACAGCTTATTGTGAAGAATGACGCTCTCGCCCAGTCGATCTTCTTTAGGGAGAAAGCATAACACTTTATCCCAAGTCATATATAACCCTTATTGGCATGAGTAGTTGATGGCTTAGCTTGGGAACCTTGAACTTGAGGCAAGGTGAGACAGGACTTGGGTCTACCTCGTGTAGTTTGTGAGTATGCAGTGTTTTCCCATGAGTTACTGGGATTGTATCCACATTGGAATGTAGACTTCACCATTGAGTTACAACTCAGTGCGTCCCCTATTTCTATGACATCCCATAGGATGTCACCTATAGATTTGCAAGAACTTAAGGTCTACTTCCAAGAATTGTTAGAAAAGAGATTTATTGTGGCGGCTTGTTCACCTTGGGGTGCTCTGGTGCTGTTTGCTAAGAAGAAGGATAGGATCCTTAGGCTATGTATTAACTACCAGTAGTTGGATTGGGCTACCATCAAAAATAAGTACCCACTATCGACAATCGATGACCTTTTTGATCAACCGAGAGGGGGTGCAGATGTACTCCAAAATATATATGCACATGGGATATCAACAGTTGAGGATTAGGGAGGCCGATATCCTTAAGATGGCATTCAAGAAGTGATACGAGCACTTCGAGTTTATTGTTATGCCCTTCGATTTGACGAATTCCACCACGACATTCATGGATCTCATGCATATGGTGTTCCAACCTGTTACTTGAGGATCATTCTCCAGACCTTGAGAAACCATCAATTGTACGCCAAGTTTAGAAAGTGTGAATTTTGGTTGACGGAGGTAAAATTTTTAGAACACGTGGTGTTTGATTTAGATGTGTCAGTGGACCCAGAAAAGGTTGAGGTAGTTATGAGTTGGGAGAGGCTTAATATCTTTGAGATATTAAGAACTTCTCACAGCTAGCTGCACCTATGACTAGGTTGACCAGGAAAGACGTTAGATTCCAATGGGATGACTCAAGTGAGAGGGCATTGCAGGAGCTGAAGACATGATTGCCATCATCTCCTATTTTGATTGTCTCGGAGAGTGGGCAAAGATACTTAATCTACTATGATGCCTCAAAGGATGGACTTGGATGTGCTTTCATGTAGTCTAGGAGGGTGGTAGCTTATGGTTCACAATGGTTAAGGAGCCACGAACACCCAAACATGGCATGAAGTTGACAACTGTTGTCTTTGCCTTGAAGGCATGACTCCACTATTTGTATGGACAGCAGTTTGAGGTGTTTTCAGATCACAAAAGTCTGAAGTACATCTTCACATAACAGACCTCAATATAAGGCACCACATGTGGATGAAGTACTTGGAGAATTATGACTTCACTTTGCATTACCATCCCGGCAAGACAAATGTGATAGCTGATGTACTCAACTAAAAGTCACATGGAGTATTGACTAGTATAGCTTCCCAGGAGTGGCAAATGCTCAAGACTGTGGGACAATTTAGTATACACTACTAGGACCAAGCTCAGGGCATTTTGGAAAGTCTAGTGGCTATGCTTTCCTTATTGAGCAGAGTGATCAAGTCTTAGGGGTAAGACATAAAGATATAGTCCATTAGGGACTGGTGACAGTTAGGTATACGTGATAAAGGCTAGACCATTCATGCAGATGGTAGTCTTTGATTTAGGAAAGGGGGTTATGGTTCCCACACAGATGGTAGTCTTCAATTTATGGGAAGGGAAGGAGTTATGGTTCCCTAGTCTACGAATCTAAGAGAGGAGATCTTGAGGGAGTTTTATTGCTCTAATTTTGTTGTGCATCCAAGGGGCATGAATATGTACCATGATCTTCACTGCCAATATTACTGGAGTGGGATGAAAAGACATGTAAGAGACTTTGTTAGTAGATATCTCTTGTGTCAGCAGGTCAAGGCTGAGCACTAGAGACCAGCAGGGTTGCTCTAGCCTTTTGAAGTGGCTAAGTGGAAGTGGGAACATATTACTATAGATTTTGTGACCCATTTACCATGGACTTCGCATGGACATGATGCGGTATGGGTGATAGTGGACCGACTTATGAAGTTAGTGTACTTTTTGGAAGTGTGGATGACCTTTACACTAGAGAAATTCTGCAAGTTGTATATATAAGAGATAGTCCAGTTACACAATGTGCTTGTATCTATAGTATCGAATCAGGATCTCAGATTCAGGGCTTACTTCTGAGAGAGTTTTCAGAGAGCTATAGGGACACAGTTGATGATGAACACAACTTTTCATCACTAGATGGACGGTCAGTTGGAGAGGACCATCCAGATTTTAGAGGACATGCTTTGGGCATGTGTCCTTGACCTTAAGGGTAACTGGGAGGAGCACTTATCCTTAGTAGATTTTGCCTACAACAATAGTTACCTAATGAGCATACAGATGACACCCTATGAGGCATTTTATGGGAGGTCGTGTTGTTCTCTGATATATTGGATGGAGGTTAGAGAGGGACCATCCACGGGTCCGAACATAATTACAGACACCTCATAGAAGGTGGACTTGATACAAAAGCATCTTCTTATGATTTAGAGCAGGCATAAGAGCTACACCGATAGAAAACAGGGACCTATAGAGTTCGAGGTTGGAGATCACATCTTCTTGAAGGTTTTGCCTAAAAGGGGTGTGGTGGTTAGGTTCGGGAAGTGGGGAAAGCTATCATCAAGGTACATTGGGCCTTTCGAGGTACTTGAGAGGGTTGGTACAGTTGCTTACCGGTTGATCAAGTGTTCACGCGGTGTTCCATGTCTATATGCTCCGAAAGTACATTCTAGATCCTACACATGTGGTGGATTTGGGTGAGCTGATTGTTGATGCAGATAGGACCTTCGAGGAGGGGCCGGTGTATATTATGGATAACTGAGATCAAGTTTTACGTGGAAAGTATATGAGGCTAGTGAAGGTGCTGTGGCAGCACTGCATTATGGAGGAGGTGACATAGAAGTGTGAAGACACTATCCGTGCTACCTATCCATTCCTGTTTGAGGATGGAGGTACATTTCTTGTAGTCAAAAAGTAGTACATGACTTGTTGCATATGCATTTTATTAGATGTACATGTGTGCATAATTTTGGGGACGAAATTCCTTTAAGAGGGAAAGAATGTAAAGCCCATGAAACTTAAAACTTTATTAAGAAAGGAAATTTGCCATTACGATGCAAGGAAAACCTGAAATTTTCTATAACTCAAATAACGAAATGGACCTCACCATTAGATTTGTATTGCAATTTCTAGCTACCCAGTCATTTTTCATCGAATTCTGAGTTAATCAAAGTTTTCATGTTTTACAAGGTGATCGATGTTGCACGACTAAAATAAATGCAATCAGATTTTATTCATGAAACTTGGGAAATAATTTCAAGTTAGTTCAATAAAAATGTACTAAACTTAACATGAGATGAGATTTAATTGATTCGGGATAAAATTAGATCAATCAAAAGAGGGATGTGTGGCGCGTTGTAGGACAAGTATTTGAGGAGTATAAAAAGGGGAGAAAAATTAGATTTTCACACCATTGTCTTCAGCACATTTTCGAAAATTAGAGAGAGAGAGAGAGCAAAGAGATAAAAATCAAACTCTTTCACCTTCTTCCTCCGATCTACGATAATCCAACCCTTAGATTGTTTTGGGCCAAGAACTAAAGTTGCTTTACACGATGAGAGCCACGCATCCATACCAAAGATCATGAGTTTTACCAAAATCTCAAAGACGGGAAATTCAGGATAAAGCTTTGGAAACTTGATTTGGGATCTTTGGGACTTCTCCTATGTGGATATACGGTACAAGAGGTAGGGTTCCTTTCCTAACTAGGTTTATTTTCAACCTAGTGTTGTATATGAAATGGGTAGGATGACTAGTGATGAATTCTCTTGTTTAGCATACACCTAGAGTAGCAAGAGTATGAAAAATGGGTATGAGAGTTTGTTTAAAATAGTTCTTTCATGATTTGGATTTGATGAGATTGCTTGGTTTGGATTTCACGAAATGAATTGTTAGGCATGCTATGTATTTACATATTTTTGCCTACTAACTATTTGATAAAATGCTTAGGAATCCAAATATGTTGTTTGGATTGATAATGCTATAACATGCTTATTGATGCTATGAAATGTTATTATATGCTTTATGATATAATTGACATTTGAGGAAATTAGATATGTTCATTATATACTCATATGATATAAGGAACATGATATTGTGAATTCCAATTGTACATTACATTTGCATTTGCATGGGTAACATTGCATTCGTGGGCAGTCTAGAGCACCATAACAAAATAGCTTAAGCTTGACATGATGAATGCGTTCAAGTCCAACAGGTTCAACCCCAAAGATCATGTTCAACTAGTTCAAGTCCAAAAAGTACAACCCCAACAACTGGAAATCATTAATACATTTCATATCTTTATTTCCTCAATTTCACTAATTATAATTTAACCCATTACTAATATTAATAAATTACACTTTAGCCCCCCAACATTAATAAAATTTTATGTTATGCAGGTTCGGGTCTCACAATTCAAGTGCAATTATTTTTAGCCATTTTTTAATGCCTCACATTTTTAGATTTTGCCACATTGGGCTCTTTTCTCACAATTGGCATTTGGCATCTTTTACGGGATTGAGGTTTAATTAAACTTCAGCCATGTGTTCACCTATTACCAATATTTAGAATCATTTAAGATCATTAATAACTCAAACTAATAAAATTCCTAATGTGAAGGTGAATGACATGTGTGTACTTGGTTTATGAATTTTTCAAAGGTAAAATACTATCCAAACATGCTAGGATGAAAGAGACTTTGTCTAATGAATCAGGCAACTAAGATTTATACCACTAAGTTTTCTATCCCCTAAAAAGACTCATAGCAATGCACATTTCAACTTTGATTTAAGGATGAATAATTTCAATGCAAACCAAAGTGTGAATTACCATGGTTATGAAACA